GCCTCGAGGGTGCTTGACCATTTTAACACAACGTGGTGCGATCATCCCCCTTGCGCGGAGTGAGGGTTCTCGACCCCGCACAACATGACCTACTGGACCACCACTATGGTTACCGCCAAAAAAAAGCAGAGGTAAAGAAAAAACGGTAACCTGGTTGCCGAGTTCACGAAGTGACTTGGCTTGTTTTACAACGTCGTTGCCAGGCGACGAAAACCCAACCCCGATGGCAAACACCGGGGGGGGCGGCTTGTTTTACAACGTCATTGCCAAGCGACGAAAACCCAACCCCGATGGCAAACACCGGGGGGGGCGGCTTGTTTNGAGGAGCGAATCGCAGGCAAGCCATAGTGATGACGGCATCTGTTCGGATAAGTTCGAGCTTCAATGTTCGAGTACGGGCGGGTGGTGATGAATTCCCTCTCTTACGGTAACATCAGACCGAAGAACAAGAGAGTGCTGCAGCACGCAGTTCGCGCGCCCCTGCCCCGTCCCTACCCCGCTCTTTAGCTGTCCTTCACTTTCCTTTGTCATGCGTCGGTGGATTTTCCGATCAAGGAAGGTTGAACAAGCAGCTGCAAGTGCATGTAGGTTGGATTATCTCAGGATAACCTGATGCAACCTCTGGGGGTAGCCTTCGACTGAGTTTTTGCTCTGGTTGGGGGGAGCGATCGGGAGCAAAGTCGTGCTGTTAGACGTGGCTTCTCTCGCCCTTTTACCTCGCGGCGTTCGTGTCTCTGTCGCCTTATTAGCCAAGATTTATCTCGTGACCAACATTTTCCCGGGACAGAAGTTCGTAGTTTGTGTTTGTGGCACTGTACATCCAATGGTTTGGAAGCAGGTGGGTATCTAGTATCCCCGCTTGTCCAATCCTCGAAGACCAAGAAGCTTTCGTGGTCGGTCACAAGCTAATCCAACCCCATCAGCGTTTCCCATTCTCACCCTAAGGGGTTACTCAGTCTGCATCCTGAGGTGTTGCACATTCTTCACGCCTCGGCGAGCTCGCCTTACGGTCGATGGAGCCTATCTGAGCTAACCCCCTATGGCAGAAACAGTACCAACGTCCGATGGTTGTCGGAGATTTCCCAATCATGAAATATTGAGGTGCTCAGATGCGGAAGGACATTTTCTGTGGACGAACAAGCATCTTGAGGCAACAAGCGCAAAAAAGGATAACCACCCCCCCCGACCTCCCTACCTCTCCCCTCCCAGAGTGTTCATGTCGTCCTCACCAGACGCTGAGGAAGAGAGCGTCCCCGTCGCTCAAGAGCCCGCGCCGCAGCCTCAGGCATCAGGGGGGGGAGACCTCACGCCCCCGCCCGGTATTTCCGAGCAGGAGGAGGCCGAGCTGGTGGGGCCTTCCAAGTCTACTGTCTTCGTGGCCGGTGGCTCCGGCTTTGTCGGCTCAGAGATCTGCACCCAGGTGAGTATTAGTGTTAAACGGTAGATGCGTGTGTGCCTATGTCTACCGTTAGTCTCTAATAACATTTGTGTGCGTGTGTGTCTATGTATGTGTGTTTCTCTTCGTTTATCGTGGTTCGCGGTAACCGGCTGGCCAGTGGAATAGACGGCAGTCTTACACGGCCAAGAAAAAGACACGATTTGTGAGTGCTGATCGCGGGGGCGGGGTCTGGGCAACAGGCGGAAGGATGGGGAGTGGCGGTTCGTGGCACGGGCGGCAATGCTGGCTGTAGCCCTCTTCCAGACCTTGAAATACTACCGACTGCGAAACACTCTTCGCACTCCCGGAGTCTTGTTTCTGGTGCGAGCTGAGCTGTGTGTGTCCTGCTCCGACTTGGTGTTTGATCGAACGGTTGCGTCTTCAAGGTTGTGGTGCAACTGGTCACCTCACCGCGCACTTCAAACCAGATGGGGTTACGCAGTCAACACAAAGGCGGGGAGTTTGTAGCACAAGCTGCGCCACCCGCTCTTCTCAACGTTTCAAGCTCGACACCGACGAATTCCTTCTGCTGAAGCGTTTTAGAACCGGGGGTAGTCAGTTCTTGTGACCCCTCCCAAGACCGAAATTGCCTGGCTTTATGCCTGACTTTTTCCGTCTTCTCTGACGCTTGTCATCTTCGGTCTTCTCCCAGCTTGTTGCCGCCGGGTGCAACGTGATCGCCCTCAGCCGCAAGGGGGCACCGGCGAATGGAGGGTCTTGGGTGAAGTCCGTCAAGTGGGTAGAGGGCAACGCTCTGGTGAGGATTTGAAGGGAAGGGGCGAAGGTATAGGACGGGGTATTCCTCGCCTGTGCTGTAGTAGTCCCCCGCCCTTCGCTTTTTTTGTTTTATCCGTTGTGTTGGTGGTTTGTGTGTGCCTGGCGGCTCCACAAGTTCGTTTTGACGGTTCCAAGCGACAGGGACTATATATCAATCCTCTGGGGGAAAACACGCTTTTCCACGTTGTCGGGTAAGCACGCCTTCGTTATATATATTTTTTCCTCTCTCGTTCTATACACGATAGCTCGCAAGAGTTCTTGTTGTGTCGCGTTTTGCGGTACAATCTTGCCCAACAGCAAGAAAGCACCACACTCGCTCTCGTCAAAACCATGACCTGTACCCCGCCCACGCCAACAAAACATCGCACTCTTGTCTCCTCTATCAACCATCTCACTCTACAATGCTCACACCACCTAAAGATTACACTCATCTCTCCCCTGCCCGTCATCTCAGAACCAAGACCTGTACCGCGCCGAGCTACGGCGATCCGACACGGTGGTGTCCTGCGTGGGGGGGTTCGGGAAGACAGACGCTTACATGGGGCTGGTCAACGGCGAGACCAACATCAAGCTCGCCGAGGTGTGTAGTGTGTAAGGGAGGCATCTCCTGTGCTAAATCAAGTATGTAGCACCTTGAGTTGGCGCCTACTGCTGTAGTACCTCTCATGGGCGTCTACTGTACTGTAATACCTTTAGTTGGCGTGCCCTGCACAATAGTAGATTTAACTGGCGTCTGCTGCTGAGTACGTTTAATTGGCGTGGGCCAAAACGAAACGGCTGGCAACAATCCTCTCATTCAAAAGACACTAAGCAGTGTTTTGTCACGTGGACATTGGCGTATGTTTTTGCGCATTGTCGCCACGCTGCTGATGTGTAGACTTTTCGGATCTGGGTGGATAAGAGCTATGGCGGAACAATCCGACCGACCCTGCAAACAGTTGGACGAACTCTCTCTCGTCGAGAAGACCCGATGGGGTTGCGTTTCCCCTTGAATGGGCGTTTGCATCTTAAACGCGGGCGCACATGTGTCACAGGCGCGATTTGTTGTGGCTCCCTTGTCTCTTTGGTGTAAGTACCGGGCAGCTTCTGTCTATGTTGGTCATATTAGGGCAAACGACAGAAAACGGTATTCCGGGGGGATTCGGTGGCACGAAACGGCACACAATGAACTGTCTCGAGCCCGTGAAAAATGTCAAGACACATAGGATACAACCTGGAAATCTTTATCTCTCGAGATAAATTTAAGGCGCCCAGCGTTCGGCCTTTCCTCCCCTCCTCCAAAACTTTCGCGCATCTAGCACAACAGTCACCAGTGGGCCAACAAAGGAGAGAAAAATAAATCACCGCAAATTGTGATATGTCGCTTAAAACCCCGTGCTGTCCTACCCCCTCTGCGTGCTTTTTCACGTGGTCTTTTCTATTGCCGCTTAAAATACCCCGTTCTCGTCCCCCCACTGCTTGCTTTTCGCATGGTGTTTTATTCTGCCGCTTGTAACATACCCCGATTCTCGTCCCTCCCCTTTGTGTACTTTTCACTTCTTTTTTTTTTGTAGGCCGCAGCGGACGCGGGGGTGAAACAGTTCGTGTTCGTGTCGGTACACGACTACAAGGCTCCGTCGGTCGTTAAGAAGGTGGGGTACTTCGACGGAAAGCGGCGGGCGGAGAAGCTCATCGGCGAACTGTTCGGCGCAAAGGTGACGAACGTTTGTTGTTGCTGTTCGGGTCTTTTTCCGAAAACCATCTCGTCTGGAGGTATAAGCACGTAAGCACACCCACAGTAGCCGCACCCGCATCCGCACCCGCACCCGCAAGCTGGCACAACCTAAAGAAAAGGAGATGGGGTTGTGTTTTGTAGTAAGAACATGACCAGCACCTCCACGACATCGGCAGAGCACATGTCCTGAAGGTTGACCGGATTGCGGGAATTCACGCAGTTTTTTTTTTTTTTGTCTTGACAACTTGGGTTCGGTTTCACGCCACCAATTTTGCGGTTGTATCGAAACACTTGGGTTACCGAAAGCGGCGAACAATAGAATGCTGCGGACTGCACGGAGAGCAAGATAGCCAACAGTGCAGTAAAAAAATAACCTCTATGAACGAAGCATATGGCACACCGGGCGGAAGCCTCTAACATGTGTTGTAGGCGACGGCAATAAAATTAACGTACGAAACGCCGTTGCCGAAAAGCGGGGCAGCGAGAAAGGTACGTGTGAAGACGAGAGTAAAAACAGAGCCCCTCTCTTCCCCCCTTACCGCTCCACCATTTTCTCCCCCCCTCCCATGTGGTCAGGAGAAGACGGTAGCTGTAGCGGGGAATGGAAAGTGGGTTGAAAAGGCGGAACGTGATATCGATAGGATAGACATTTTTGAGCCACCTGTGGCAAAATAGGAAGGATCGGTCTTGTGGGAACGCCCCCCCCGGTGTTTACCATCGGGGTTGGGTTTTCGTCGCTTTGCAACGACGTTGTAAAACAAGCCGCCCCGCCCGGTGTTTTGCCATCGGGGTTGGGTTTTCGTCGCTTGGCAACGACGTTGTAAAACAAGCCGCCCCCCCCGGTGTTTGCCATCGGGATTGGGTTTCGTCGCTTGGCAACGACGTTGTAAAACAAGCCAATTCACTTCGTGAACTCGGCAACCAGGTTACCGTTTTTTTTTTT